TTAAGGTTAGTTTACAATATCGTCCTTGAGGACTTTGTAAGTTTGTTGTTATAGAATTATATGACTCAGGGTTTTTAGTCGTAATAGTATAAACCATTATGTCTTCTGCCATTTACTTAGCAAATAAATTTTAATGAAATGTTGTGGTCGTCAAATATTTTTATAACGTCTGGGAAACTATATTTTAAGTTCAACGTTTCACCTCCTTTCATAACGTATATCTTGTCAATGACATTATATGAAACACCACAGCAACTAATGTCGGGTTCTATTTCTTTGATGTTTATATCGTCTGCCTCTGTCAAAAGTTTCAATAGTTCTTTCAAAACTTCATGAGGTGCAATGACATATGAGTTCACTTTTACAGGGTTGTGTTCGACCAAGTTTAACATTATACTTAAAGCTTGACAAATCTTCTCCTGAGTTTGAAGTTTGTCTTTCAGTTGTTGGTAGTCGTTTCGAATATCTGCAACAGAACTTAAGTCTCTGCTAACTTCAGGATATGTTGGTTGTTCTTTTACAGGAACAATTGTTATACCATCTTCGTCTTCGTATGGTTTCCCCACTTCAACATCTCTGTCTTTGACATTGACAATAACACTTTGACTGTTTGTTTGAGTTGGTGAATTTAACTTCACATCTGCCACCGCCATTAAACCTTTTGAAACACTTACGCTTCTATTTTTCGGAAATGACATTTTACTTAGAATAAAAAGATGGACGTATTCGGATATCTCTTCGAATTGAAGCAGAACAAAGTTTACACACACAAACAATACAAATACATTGACAGAATAGTTCTTTATACAAACAATGGAAAATGTTATAGAATAGCAGTCTTTGCTGAACCAAAATATTTTCATAAAGCAAAGAAAGTTGGTATAACTGAAATGGTGAAAGTTCTTGAAGCAGACAAAAATATAACAACAAAACTTACAGATATTTCTAAAGGTAAGTTTATAATACAATATTATGTCAAAACTGGCGTACTGTCAATATTTGACGGAGAGAAGTCAGTTCAAGAACAACTTACTGACCTGCTGCCAAAATCTGCTCGATGGAAGCTGTCGTTATGCCAATCTGAGGAGCCC